GTCCTTCCTGGTTACCACAAGATGGCATTGTTTCAATAATGGAAGTGTGTCTTTCCTATCAGACCATATAAATACTCAGAAGAGATGGTCTTCAAATAACTAGCTGATGCCAGGTAGGGTTTTAAAGGAGATAACTAGTACCTATCCAAAGCCAATTAGGGCCTCGTGCAGATTGCAGAGTGGTGGTGTCACATAGACATGGCAAGGAGTGACAATAGCAATTGAACTGCTGCATTCTGGAACAACTGTAGCTTCTGGATAGTCTTTTAAGGGCTGCCCCATGTGGAACAAATTACAGTAATCTAATTGGGAGGTGACTAAAGTGGGAGTGACTATGAGCAGGCCTACCAATCCCCAAAGAGGCACAACTGACATACTAAACCAGGCATGTCAAACTGCCGGCCCGCAGGCCAAATGCGTCATGCCGAAACCGTGCCCATCCCATTGCCGGCAATGGGAAAAAAGTCCCGATACATTGCGCGACATCATGTGACTTCGCGAGTTTGACATGCCTGTACTAAAGGATCCCTTGGCCATAGCTACCACCCCAATATCAAGTAATTGTGAATCAGTTCTGGGATCCAAGGAATTCAAAACACACAGCCAGGTTGATGCCTAGTTTTTTTTTTCTTAACCTTGCCCAGTTTTAATTTGATTTTTATCATCACTATATATGCAAAGGTTTTCTTGTGGTTGCTTTCCTCACATATGCTGCTAAATAATTAGGCTGAAAGAAGAAGAATGGTGAATGCTCTTTTTAATAACTCTAAACAGAGAAATTGGGGATGTACCTTTTCATGCAAGGTTGAAAAGCAATACACACCAATCTTTTACTATGGAAGACCACTATTTACATTCCCACTAATCTTCTGCTAAGGAATATTTCTTCTTGCATTTAATTACATTTCTATTTTTTCACATTTACAAGAAACAAAAAATAATGCAATGGTATGACCCATCTGGGTATTCCTGTCAGGAAGTGAAAGTCAGCATACTACTCCTTTTATTCCATTTATATATTTTATTTCTTCCATGATTGAACTCAACTTGAGAAGCCTTGGAATGCCAGGTAATCTTTCATCCAGAGACAAATATAGTCTGCTTCAGAAAGGTTGCTGTAGCACATGCGTTCATAACATGTCTTGGGCTTGTGCAATTAATGGTCTTAATAATTTTAATACATTAATTTAGAACAGCCAGATTTCAATTTGAACATCCTTTTTAAAGATAAAATATTCCAAAATGTCCTAAATACTGGTAAACAAAATCTGTATTTAAGATTTGCTGTCATTTATAACAGGAGTCCCCTGTATCAGTCTTAGGAACCAGGCTGCACAGTTGGAAGTGAGCAGCAAGTGACCAAGTGAAACCAAAACCATTTCCTGGTCCATGGAAAAATTGTCCTCCATGAAACCGGTCCCTGATGCCACTGATTTATAATAATCTATTCCCAATTTAAAAATATTACTAATACATTTATTTGCCATTTGTGTACATCTAATTTTAATATGGCTTCCTACAAAGCAGCAAATAATGTTGACTGCAACACCTACTGGATATTTACTCTGAAGTAAATCTTAGCCTACAATCCCATATACACTTACCTGCAAGAAAGCCCTATTAAATTCAGTGGAGCTCATTTCTAGGCAATGTTAAAGAGACTGTACTCTTAATAAATTTTCACCATAATTTTGAAAATGTGAAAGAAAAACCCTTCGATCCTTTTATACCTCCATCCAAACATGAAACAAACTGATTTAGTTGTAGCAAGCAAAAGCTTGTAAAAGGATATAAGACAGCTGAAATATTTGACAGACATCATTAAACGCCAGGGGATTTGTATCAGCCATTTTACTTTAAAAGGAGCTTTGAAGTTGGCTATCTTTCATGTATTTCTTTCATGGTACATTAACAAAGAAAACTGAGCGGAGGTAAATCAAGTCCCAAGGTCACCTCTAGAGTTACAGCACCCTGGGTACCTGATGAATTAAGAATTAATGCCGCATGAGCAGCAAACATAATGAAAACTATGGGCTGTTAACCAATCTAGTTTTACAAGTGGATCTGAACCCTTTTTATCTGCAACCAGAGCAAAGACCTTTTAATCCCTCCCACCACGGTCTTGAAATATAATTATCATAATGTGAACCTAAATGTTAAGTTGCCCTTCAAATGGAGAGAGTGCTGTGAAGCAGAAAAGTAAAGGTAATTAGGCTAGGAGCTGAAATACTAGATATAGAGGAAGCAAGAGGACTTGAAAGTGGCATTTCTTAAAAATCCAGAGAGAATAAGGCAGATCTTCAGCAATATAGAGCAATATTAGAGTCAAAATGGGTGCACAAAGGTTTAGACAGCGTTTTATGAAATGTCAGAGAATTAGAACATTAAACCAAAATGTTTGCAAATGAAAGGCCACGTATGAAAGCCAAGAAGCAAGTCCATTGGGAAAGACCAAAGCAGTTGAATACAGTTTATTGGAAACTAGATCTTAGGTGCAGTTTGCTTAATTTTGGCAAGATAAAAGATGATCAATAGTTGCCCATTTCTAAAGCAGCAGGGAGGGGGGAGGGATTGGGAGAAAAAGGTTTGATCAAAATTTAAAATTAATAGTACAACAAAAATAATCTCTAATAAGAAAAGATTACAGAAAAATCAGTACAAAGTCTTTCCCTAGACCTTAGGCTATGATGGGCATCACGCTCCCATAGGATTTAACAGCTAGCTGGACTGTTCATCTGATTGTACACTATTCTTCTCTTGTTTTAATACTTAATTTTGTATGCTGTCCTGAGTCTGTTGGATGACCTTCTACATTTAATAAATATATAAATATTGTATTTTAAGTTCTGCATTTTTAACTTTATGTAATTTCTTTTCTTTTTTTTATGTGTAAATAGGATATATAAGTTCCTCAGGGTCTGGCATATAAGCCTATAAGCAAAAAGGGATGGGACTCCCCTGTTTAGTGATTATTATTATTTTTTGTATTTGCTTTGTAAGTTTTTTGTAGTTATTTTTGTAGTGTACTTGAACTATTTTTTGTACTCTGCTTTTTATGTTATTTATTGTTACGGGCTGTCCAGAATATGTGGTATACAAGTTGAATAGATAAAGCAAATATACTTCAACATGATTTTAAGTCAAGAAAATACTTTTTAAAATGTATCATAGAAACCATTGAGTGTATGTAGGAAGAATCTTAATATCTTCTAAGAGATTTACAAATCATGGTACATATGATTCATTCTTATTTAAAATAAATATATACAATTATTTATTTTAGATAAATCTAGACTCATCTAAGACTGTCCACTGAGATCAGTGGGAACTAATTCAGAACATATATGCAGAAGGGGAGGTAGATGTTTGTGACTATTGCCGCTACAAATTTCAGTATACACAACAAGGATTATGGGATTAATAATTCAAGGTATCTTGAAAGTACAGACTGCAATCTTTAATATTCAACTTTCCATTTTTTTAAAATTGCATTTGGTCTTCACAATAACCTTGCCTGCTTCGCCCTAGTCTTTTTCTTAACCAGTGTCAAAAGCTTTGCATCTATTTTTTAGTTACACATACTTCATTGTTATGCTCAGATCCTTAAACAATTAACAATTATGAAAACCAGATTCATAAACTAAGAATTTAGCCTATATCAAACAAATGAAAGCAAGAAAGTTTGTACATCATTTTTCTCTGCTAGCATCAGTGTTATCTCTTGCCCTTCAAGATAGTACAGACTAAAAGCACAACAATGAATACTAACTCTATATTTATTATAAGCTTACATTAATAGAATCTTGCAAGACTGAAAATATTTGTCCTCTCCTTTTCTTTTGTGTAAGTCTTCAAGTCAACTTTTGACTCCTGACAACTGCCTGGACAAGTCCCTGCGGTTTTCTTGGAAAGGTTTTTCAGAAGTGGTTTGCCATTGCTTTTTTCCTAGGACTGAGATAAAATGACTGGTCTGCAGTCACCCAGCTGATTTCATGCCTAAGACAGAACCACAACTCAGAGTCTCCTAATTTCTAGTCTGATGCCTTAACCATTACACCAAACTAACTCTCCCTGCTCTCCTTTTACTCTCTGGAAAATTAGGGGAGGGGGCCTTCTGAAATGCTTCCTACACTCCCTCTCCTTCTATGGACTGAGACATCCTTTACATGCCAAATATCCAGTGTGCAAGTCTTCCTCCTTGTTGGGTTCCAGCACTAGGTCTAATACAAGGTGGTGATGGCATCAGGAAGTTCTTGGGGGCCAAACATTCTAGCAAGGCTATCACCAACACTAGACCCTCTGTAGAAAACATAATAATAATCATCAATGCCTGCAATAGCTGCTATTTGTTTTTCTCTGACTCTTCTTGGAAGAGAAACTAATTCTGCCATGTCTTATTCTGGGATAAGGAAGAAATGCTGACAATAGTTGGTAGGGCTACTTTAATAAATCCCTCCCAAAATCTAAGGAGATCCACCAAATAACATCACCAAATATACTCTCAGTTTGTATGCAGTTTCCATTTTTAGCCTTTGTGCTATTCTACATTATGTAATACAATATATCCTAAAAACAAACAAACATGGACTTGTATATGAATTTCAATAAAAAAGATATTTCAAAAAGCATGAAAAAGAAAAAAGCAGTCTGATTTGGTATTATTTAGGCATACATTTATCTTTAAACATAAAGACAGTGTCCATATATTAGCCAGAATTGTTTGTGTTCAATGTGTTATAGGAACTGACCCACTCTTATGTGAATCAAGCTATTAGGGGATGCCTTATTTTGGTGTAATTGCCTGTAATTTTGGCAAGTTGTATGAGCACAGGAATGGTATTTTATTTATCTGGGATTATGGGTTAGATCTGAAAATAGCTCTGTGGAGTAGATGGTGATATGATATGTAAAGGAATTATCATCCCAAAACATTTCTATAAAAACGAATTCCATTGGACTCCAATGAAAATAACGAAATACTATTTTATATATTTTCTTACCAGTAAGTGACATCCAAAGGTGCAAAGTATCTCTTCATAATTAAGTCAGCAAAGTAAGCTTCAGTTTCCCTACAAGCTGTTCCATTGCCAATCACAATAGTGACACAGCTTTTAGGAGAGAGATGGAGGGAAGGAGGAAGGAGAGAGAGAGAGGGAGAGAGCGCATTAAAATTAAAGTCATCTAAGGCCATCATCCTCCATCTTCCATTTTTGTTTCCTTTCCCACAGAACCTCTTCCAATGTAATATGGAAAAGGAAATCTGCTTGCCTTAAAAACTCCAAAAGGAGTTTTATATACTTTTTCCTTTTCTTATCAGAGTTCTGATAGGAGTAATACACAAGTGAGGAAGGTATGAGGCGTATGAACATGCAATGGGAATGAAACCAAAATGCACTTACATCTATTCTTGACACTTCACATTAAAGATAAGGTAGCCACTAGCTGGCCACAGACCTAATACATGTTGCAGATGAACCCCTGCAACTAGAAGCTGCTTTGTTAATATGGGAAGGGACGGGGAATTCACATTAGAGAAAGAAGGTGGAATATGAGACCTGCTACTCTCTTAACCACAGATTACCTGGCTAGCTCCCAAATTAATGGAGCAATTTGAAAACTTTTCTACTTTGATGTAGGGAGGAAGTGCAATACCTCCTTTTCAAAGGACCAAACTCACTATTCTGGTTCAGATGAAATATAAACAGGCCTTTTGCCTTCATCTATAATCCCGTCTCTCTTTCATTTGTGGCATTCCTGAACTATATACAGAAGGCTCTAACTTAATTTCACCATTTTGTTCCCTCTGGGAAATTAGCAGAGCCTGACAAGGAACAGTAGCCCTGTTACCTCATTAATGCATTTATATTCTTCCAAATACTTCCTATAAAGATTCTAAAATATCAGAAGCAAGTTAATTTGTCTTCTATGCTGCAGATCAGCAGTAATACACACTGTATAGGGAAAAACAACATGAAGAAGAACATACTTGTGATCCAACAGAAGTTTCCGTATCTTCTCAGCTTCACGGATTCCTTTACCAGAATGCAAATAGACAATATCTGTATAGAGTATCTGACCTAAGGTGAGAATAAAAGAAATGTAAATTTATTTTCCTAGGATCAAGTAACAACTATGAACATAGGGGGAACAAACTTCAAGAAGCCTTGGGCATCTATGTTCCCCAGTTCCCACCTCCCATTTTATTATTCAATCAATCAAGAGCAATCAAAGAATTTATATCACCTTCCTCAACCAATGTCATACAAATGAATTTAATGGGAGTTGGCATTTTATCATCATGGTGCCATGTTTTTGTTCAAGTGTTGTTTTGTCCGATATTTTTACCCAGGTGTTACCAAGAGTGTTATCTAGCCAACTGGTCCAGTTGTATTTATTCATTTATATTACATTTATATCCTGCCTTTACTGTGTACAACTCAAGGTGATATACATAATAAGGGCTTTTTGTCTCTAATTTCCCCCTCAATAACAGTCATGTAAAATGAGTTAGGCAGAGAGAGAAAAAACAAACTGTTCCAAAGTCACCCATCTGGAACATGTGAGTTTAGCTACAATTCTATTGAAAATATGAATGAAACATTCAACATGTACTCATTCCTTTGTAGTGGAAAGTAATGTGCATGACTGTGGATTATAGACAAAAAACTTCTCCCATTATTTTATGGAGACATATACTTGTTTAGCTCAGCAGAACCTGAGGAAAAGCACTGAATGCTTATCAACAGGGTGACATTCTTAACAGAAGTGTGGCCACTTAGATTTAGGACTGCAGCTGATGCCTCTTCAACTAATAAAATCTTTTAAATTGTTTTAATTATTTGGTTGTGTACAATGTCAGCAATATTAGAAAAGGGAAGAGTTAAATAAGGAAGACATTCTTCTCATGCTTTATCATATACAGCAAGTGGGGTATCAAATTATTTTCCATGTGTCTTCAGTTTTCTGAGAAAAGCAAAAGGAACATTTTTCTAACCTTTTATTTTCAAGAAATGCTATGCTGCTTCATGTGCAAGATGTTGTTTATTAGTCTTTCATTAGAAAATCATGCCATTGCTCAAGAGTTTCAATTTGGTTAAATATTATTATTTAGATGAGTCCTGAATTTGTGATATGAGGTGATAAGAAAGGCCAAACTTATTTGAATATTTTTTGGGTTTGTGGCACTACAGCTTTTAAGAATCCCTGTTACTAATACTGTTGTGAATCACATTTTTTTAAATTATTCAAGTTTTTAAAAATATTAATTATTGTTTTATTTAATTTATACAGCTGCCTAATTCACTAAAGCAATTCTGGGCAACTAACAGCAATAACAGAAAGAAAAACAAACATGCATTCTAACTATCAAACATATCATACGATCTCCTAAGATGGGCACATCTAATATCCAAGCTGAAATGCCAAGGGGAAAAACAAGGCTTTTAGTACTTTCTTTAGGGCTAGCAGGGTCAACACCAATCAAAACTCCTATCACAGTGGTGGCGAACCTATGGCACGGGTGCCAGAGGCTGCACTCAGAGCCCTCTCTGTGGGCACACGCGCTGTCACCTCAGTCCTAGGCCTTCAGCTGGGTTTTATAAAACCTTTTCTTTTTAGGCCTCCGCCACCATGTGCAAAAAAAAAAAAGGTTCAATCAGTCAATTTCAACTTCTCGCGGGAAAAAAAAGATCTTGCAAAGTTGGAATTGATTGAACTTTTTAGTCTCACCCAGTCTGCCGTTACTACCGCAGCCACGCCCAGCCAATGGGCCACGTCCAGCCAATTGGCCACGCCCAGCCAATTGGCCACACCCACCCCGCACTCAATGATGCATAAGTGGGTATTAGGTTGCAGTTTGGGCACTCAGTCTCTAAAAGGTTCGCCATCACTGTCCTATCACATACCACAGCATTCCACATGGAAAAGCAAACATGAAGAAATATCACTGGAATCAGTTATTGTCTAAATCATACTCATATGTATTTCTAAAATATATTGCATGTGCTTCTGTTCTGTTCCAGGAAGGCAGCCCAGCTGGTAAAAATGCTAGGAGCAAGTAGTAATTATGATTATTCATTGGCTTCTGCTACAGAATGAATTAAGAAGGGGCACAGGCCTTTCTCCAGTAACAATGAGGGATGTCTAACTCAAGCTGCCTTTTGCTGGTAAACTCATGAGCAAAGATTTTGTATGGGCAATTTCATTATCCAAAAGAGAGAGAGAGAGAGGGAGGGAGGGAGAGAGGGAGGGGGAGAGAGAGAGAGAGATTTAAATGTTATCAAACTCTTTTTTTATCTCAAGCAAGTTCATAGTAGCCACATTTACTGAGTATCAGTCAATACATCACTTTAACATGTGATGCAAGTCTAAAAACTCTCAGCTTTAGTGTACTTTAGTGTATTATATTTAGTTTTCCATATCAAAGATATAAGTTTCTATGTTTGAATGGAAGATGCTAAGTTCAAATAAATCTGGAGAACATCAGTTGAAGAAATATATTTTATACCCATATGAAAAGTAGCATTTCTCTCAGATGGCACCGTAGACTTACTGGTTGGTGAAATAATTGCTAGTTTGCAACCATGTGTGTACCCAGGGTCAACTCCCATCAATGTTCGCCCTCTCACAGGGCTTGTTAGAAGCAACTGACGAAGATTCCTTCCAAACATCATTACTGATTCCTTTTCAGCATCTGAAGTTAGTTTTGACCTGATAAGGGAGAAAAAGGGGCGTTGTCTTACCTGAACACCTTTTCTCAGCATGTAGAAGGGAGAATCCACGAATGGGTTAAAGATGTCCTCTAGCCCAATCAGACCAAATCAATCAAGTTGCCATGCCCCTGCTGGACTGGACCTTGCCCCAGTTTCAAAAAGGGCGAAGCTAAAAACTGTGTGACGTGTTGGCTCCCAGCTACTGACACTGACCTGACTGTGAATTTCAAAAAGGGAAGGGGGTGGATTCTCCATTCTTCATGCTGAGAAAAGGCATTCAGGTAAGACAACGCCCCTTCTCCAGCATGGAAAAGAATGGAGAATCCACGAATGGGACATATCAAAGCCCATGTGACCCTACGGGTGGGAAACAGGCTGGTCAAGTGTCGACGCTGACTGAACCACCTATTGTAAAACACGGCGGCCGAAGGAGGCCTCTGCAGAGGCAAATTTATCAAGCCTGTAATGACGGATAAAGGGGGAAGGCGAAGACCACGTCGCCGCCCTACAAATGTCAATGATAGAAGCCTGAGTGTGCCACGCAGCTGATGTAGAGGCACTGCGAGTGGAGTGTGCTGTCAGATGGCTTGGAACAGGTAGGGAGCGTACCCGATACGACTCCGCAATGCAGGTCTTGATCCACCTGGCAATAGTAGAGGAAGAGACCTTCTGACCTTTAGAAGCCGGATGGAAAGATACAAAGAGCGCCTCCGATCTACGAAAGGCAGATGTCCGTTTAATGTAATATCGCAGGGCCCGACGTACATCTAGAGCATGCCATTGCCTCTCTAAGTCATGTGATGGGTTAGAACAAAAGTCCGGTAATACAACCTCCTGTGCCCTATGGAATAAGGTGTTAACCTTGGGAATGAACGAGGGGTACAACCGTAGGACCACGCTGTCCTGATGAAAGGTGCATAGGTCTTCCCTCACGGAAAGAGCTGCTAATTCCGAGACGCGCCTTGCCAATGTCACTGCTATTAAGAAGGCCACTTTAAGGGACAAGAGTCGCAGAGTGCAAGATCTGATGGGTTCAAAAGGGGTTCCTGTAAGAGCCTGAAGAACCCGTGGTAACTCCCAAGTGGTGTAACGATGGACTACAGGAGGCTTACTGTTTGTAACTCCCTTGATAAAGGATCGAACCCTCGGGTGTTGAGAAAATGGCGCGGAGCTGGCACAGGTGAAAACCGTGGAGAGAGCCACCATCTGCCTACGGATAGTGTTGGGTGCTAGGCGCTTATCCACGCCTTCCAAGAGATATTCGAGTATCCTCGGAATAGTAACAGAAGAAATGGACAAACTATTTTGGTCACACCAGTGACAGAAGTTCCGCCAGGTGGCATCGTAGATCCGATTTGTCGCCGGCTGCCGAGAGGCCTGGATCATTGAGATCACTCTTGAGGAGTATGAACGCCGTGCCAGGAACTGGGGTTCAGATGCCAGGCGGTCAACTGGAGCCACTGCGGGTCTGAGTGTCATATGACCCCCTGTAGCAGGATTATCCGCTTTGGAGGAATCCTCCACGGAGGAGCTACGGCAAGGCTCACTAGATCCTCGAACCATGGTCGCCTCGACCAGTGTAGGGCCATATCACAGCTCCACTTGTTCCTGTAAGTTTTCTGATGACCGCCGGAATCAGGGGAAACGGTGGGAAGGCGTATAGCAGTCCCCCAGGCCAAGGGCTGCGGAGAGAATCTACTCCCTCCGACCCCTGGGAGGGGAAACGGGAGAAGAACCGTGGGATCTGAGCGTTCACCGGGGAGACGAATAGGTCGACACTCGGTTGACCGAACCGCTGCACAATCTCTCTGAAGAGATGTGGATGCAGACTCCATTCTGAATGGTCTACCGTAGAGCGACTCAGATAATCCGCTTGCCGGTTCGCCTCCCCTGAAATGTGCTCCGCCTTCAGGGAAAGAAGATTCCGCTCCGCCCATGATCCCAGTAACCGGGTCTCGGACATCAGGGCCCGCGATCGAGTACCGCCCTGCCGGTTGACATGGGCCTTTGCTGCCACATTGTCCGTCAGGACCAACACGTGGCACCCCGCAATCATTCTGCGGAAGTGGCAAAGTGACAGGCGTATAGCCCTGAGTTCCAGCCAGTTGATGTTTTGTCTGAGGTCTCGCTGGGACCATTGGCCCTGGGCGAATTGAAGTTGGAGGTGTGCCCCCCAGCCGAACAGACTGGCGTCCGTGGTCAAGGTCACACGAATGGGCTCTCTGAAAAGGGACCCCTTGGACAAAGCTGGGGAGAGCCACCAGAGAAGGGATCTGAGTGCCTGTGCTGGAACTCTTACCCTCTGGGGAAAAGAGCTTATGCCCCGCCTTTGGTAGGGAAGTAAGAACCACTGGAGCTGTTGTGTGTGAAGTCTGGCCCAAGGAACTATGGCAATGCAGGAAATTAGTTTCCCCAACAGTTGGGAGAGCAGGGCTAGGGTCACCCGTTGTTCCCTGCGGACCTTGATGACCAGAGTATGGATGCTGACTTGGCGCTCCTGCAATAGGAATACTTGACAAAGGGTTGTGTCTATTATAGTGCCTAAGTGCAATAGACGAGTGGCTGGAACCAAGTGGCTCTTTTGAAAATTGATTAAGAACCCATGACCTTGAAGCGTCCCTATGGTTAGCTCCAGGTCCGTCAGTGTGTTCGGTGCAGAGGACGACTGGATCAGGATGTCGTCCAAGTAACACTGATCGCGAATTGGACCGACCTGAGATGTGCGGCCTTGGTGAAAACCCTGGGGGCCGATGATAGGCCAAACGGGAGAGCCTTATATTGGAAGTGATGGCTGGAGTACCTGAACCTGAGGAATTTTCTGTGATTCGGATGAATGGGGATGTGAAGGTATGCCTCTGTAAGGTCTACTGATGTCAGGAAGTCCCCCTGCCGTACGCTGGCCAAGATGGGTTGAAGTGTCTGCATCTTGAACCTGCGATACGACAGATGCGAGTTTAGAACCTTGAGGTCCAGTATCACCCTCCATCCCCCTGAAGATTTCGATACTACGAATAGGATGGAGTAAAACCCCTGCCCTAGTTGGTCCGATGGTACCCGCTCTATGGCCTCTATGCTTAAGAGATGTTGAATGGCTTCCTGTATGAGGCCCTTTTCAATGGGATTCCGCAACTGGGGACAGGTGATGTAACGTCGAGGGGGGGTTGTCACGAATTCCAGGGACAAGCCGTCCCTGATGGTGGTGAGCACCCAAGCGTCTGTGATGGTGTCCTCCCATTTGCGAATGTAATGAGTCGCCTATGGGAGGGATCCACCCCAAGTCACCTTGACCTACAGAAGGGGCAACCTCCTCTGCCTCGAAAAGGACATTTGTTCGGGACCTGCTGTCTGGGCCTGTCTCTGTAACCGGACCGATCCAAGGAACGGTCCGGTCCTGTTGGAAAGGGCCGTGATACATTACCTGAGACCGATTCCGATCCCGATCGAAAGGGAGGGCAACAGTTATATGGGGCAAAACGCCTGCCCGATCTTTTGGATAGATGGTAAAGTACCCTTCTCTTTTCCCTGTTTTCCACCAGGTACGGAGTGAGAGCCTCCCCAGCTCCATTTATGCTTGGTGTTGGCACGCCAATTCCTAAGCCAGAATAATTTACGTGTGGCGACGTTGGAGGCTATGGCACGGGCAGAGAACCTAGCTGCTTGGAGGGACACGTCTGCCATGTATTCCAAGGCTGCCCGCAACTTGGTCACATCCTGGTGTACCCTTACCTCCTCTGGGGAGATTCTGGACTGAAGTTCACATAGCCAGATTCGAGAGATCTTGGCGAAAAAGGAATTTGATGTGGAAGCTGTTACCACCCACGCCGAGGCCTGGTGTGTCCTACGGAAGGAAACCTCTGATTTTTTGTCCTCGGCTTTCAGCGCCTACGACATGTCGCCTGGAATCCTGGATTCTGAAAGGATGGGAGTAAGGGACTCGTCCACTCCCGGAACCTCCAACGCCTCATTCAGGGTCGAATCCGTATCTATGAGTTTACGGTCAATCCCTTCGAGGGCGGAAAAGGTGCCTGGGGAACCCCATTGATCCCGTACCGATTTCAGAAACATGGGAGGACAAGGAATCTGTTGATGTGTCACTACAGGTTCCGAGAACAGCGGGCTGGTAACCTGACCGGGTGTCTGATCGGGGGCCGGAGTCTTTTCCGGTTCGATCTTCCCGGTGGCGCAGGCCTTACGTAAGAGAGAAGAGAAAGAAGTAGGGTTGAACAAACCAACCAAAGGAGGGGCCTCTGTATGCGCCTCCTCATCATCCGACCACTGACCCTCTTCGAAGACCTGCTCCGAATATTCGGATACCTTGCTCCCACAGGAATATGGTGAAGCCGGATCCAGGTACTGATAATCCCTGGACCGTGAAGTCCCCGCACAAGGGAGAGGGTGTGACGTCCCCGGGGTCGCTGGGGCACGTGCTGAAGAAGCCATAGCTTGAGCAACAACCTGAGAAATCATGTCCTGGAGTTGGTCCGTAAATGAAGGTTGCTCCAGGGGGCGGAGTCCCGCCGCCGTAGGAGTGAATGAAGCTGACGGAGCCTGAGATAGACCCGCAAGGGAGAAATTCTCCGAGACTCCACCCGCCACTGTGGAAGGGGTGACAATGCAGGGAGGAGACTGCTTCAGGGAAGCTAAGAAACCTCTTTTGAAACACTTGCCGAACTGGGACAGCGCTGATCCCAGTGCTGATCAGATGACAAGAGAATGAAAAATCCACGAATGGGAATCAAACAAAAAGAAATGTGACCTGTCCTCCTAAAAGTCTACTTTGGGAGCCAATTTTTCATGTCTGTCCTGGGCTGAGACCAAATCGAAACTGGGGCAAGGTTCAGTAAAGCAGGGGCGTGGCAACTTGATTGATTTGGTCTGATTGGGCTAGAGGACTTCTTTAACCCATTCGTGGATTCTCCATTCTTTTCCATGCTGGAGAAAAGTTGAGTTTTTCATAAATATGCAAAATAGTATTTTTGATTCTCATTGAAAAGTTCCTTCTCTGACTTCTTCTCTTAGTTTATTTCATAAACAAATACACCTGGACATATTCATATGAGAGACATTTGATTGTTGAATTTGACTCAAATGAAGTTTTATTTTAATTCTCATCTATTAGGGAGGAGGACCCACAAAAACACCTGTGCCCATAAATGTATTTTGAAATTACATGTTTGAATCTGAAATCACAATTTATTCTTACAATATCAAAAATTGCAATTTCAGCTAGTAAAAGAAGCCATTATATTGTCACTGACAAAACAGATGGCTTCCGACTCTGTAGTCATTACATAGCAAAGTTGAGCCCAATATTATGCCAATTAGATTGTTAATCTAAGAGTGAAAAATGACAGACACAAAGATATTTATAGCAGGAGCAATTAGTCTCCCCACTTCTCTTAAAAGAAGTATGACAAATGGGATTAGATCGACATGATGGAGAGCACTACTGAAACAGCGATTGTGAAATGGATATAATGAAAACAATTTTAGCAACTCAGCAGTCTGCATCAAGACCATTAGAACAATCTTACTCAATGATAGCAGAGGAGAAAAAATACACAATATGGCATGATCATTAAAACATAAGCAAATTGCAGATTGGATACACAAACTGTCAACTTTCCCATTTCCCATTTTTCTTTTTATCCTTTGCACTACCAAGAAAAAATATCTTTTAAATTGCCAATGCTTGCATATTCTTAGTATCTGATATGAAACTGTTCATGGAAAAACAACATGTGTCAAAAATCCTTCTGCTATCTCAGTCCTAGATAAACCTCCTTGGAAATAAATCCTATGGGTTTTAGTGAACATTAAACATTGTGTGTCTGGATAAACCTGGGTAAAATATAACATATATCAATTGACTATTGGTAAGAATACATTATTATAGCAAAATCTAGATTAAATGACTGATCAACAGTCATATGGAATTTTGGTATGGTATCTCTTAACATCTATTTCTCCCAAGTATCAAAGTCAAAGAGTCAATACCCCTTCGCATGATTGCATGGAAAACCAGTAATACATAGGGTGTTCACTTTCAGTGAGAATGCATACGCATTTCAGTCAAAACTATCCAGCTTCAATTATTTTAAAATTAGAGAAACCCCTGTGTGTTAAGCTTATTCAAAGCTCATAGCCATGATGACTATCTAGAAAGTCACATGTCAAGAGGCAGTATGTCACTGACTATCATTTTTTGGAAGACAAGAATGGAAGACCTTCTTAGATGTCTTCCGTGGATTTGGAAGACAATATCTTATTTTCTGCTTGTGAGTATTTCATAAGTATTTAGTTTAGCCTCTGTGAAAAATAGGATTCTAGATTTGCTAGGTTTGTAGTCTGACTATTAAGGACTAATATGTTTTTACTTATCCTTTTAATAATGAAGATATATTGTTTTACCTAAACTCTCTGCAGAGAAGGGGATAAATAAGACGTTTATATGAATCTTCTATTGAATAGCGTAGTAGTTCCATTAATTCAGGACTAGCATAGGCCTTTGGTCTCCATCTGTAAATCAGAAAATTTTAAATTGTAGTCACTCTGGCAATCTTTTAAATCAAACCATGTCAAAAATAACAATAACAACAGGTATATAGGTAAACCCACTAAGTAAATTCAAGAAGTGCTTTTCTTCATAATATCCATGACAATGGTCAATCATTAATTCCTATGGAACTGTCAAGTCTTTTCTTAGATTACAAATCCAAAATCAATCCAGGTAATTCTTGCTGATATAATACAAGAGCAGTATGGGTAGCATTTATGAGCTAACAGTTGCCACTTCAAATCTCGACCAACCTCTTGAGGATCTGTTCTATCCCTATCCCTATCCTTATTTCTATCCCATCCCCTTTTCCTTCATCATCCCCTATCCCTATCCTATCCCATTATCAGCCCTAATACTACTGTTCTTCCTTATTTGAGATAGAATACTTTTAATGTTAAACATGAATGTGGCCGAGTGTTCTAGTTCTAATTTTGGCTAACTTAAGCATTCATTAGAAAATCTTTTACTACATTTGAAAAATAATTGTTCTACACTTATTTCTCACTGGCCCAAAAATCTACCTTAAAGAACAAAAAATATACCTAAACAGTGAACTGGGAGTGGGGGAATAATTTGTCTGTTTATGATATATCACATACAAATGTCAGTGATTCAAGAATTAAGATATACAAATATTCACAGAAGATATAATAAACAATTTAAAAATAAGCAACATATGACTCAAAACCCCTATGTAGTTAGTGGAATGTCTTCCATTAAAAAGACAAATCTATGAGTTTACAGCCTAAACTGTATACTACAGCATTTACAAAATTAAACCTCATAATTTGAAATTCTGAAATAATGTTTTCAGAGCATCCATGTATCATCCAATGTGTCTAATTCTTGGCACTTTAATATTTGGTACTAGAATCAAGTAGATAAGAAAACTTATACAGAAAATGTGTATCTTGCCCCCATAATCACATGATATTTTGGGTGTCTGGCAACAAAGTCACCTTTACAGCCATTTGCAGTGTCCCACAGTCACATAATTGCAATTTGTGATGGGGGTTTTGTCAGTTTCCAGTGTTTACTTTTGGCTTCTAGCAAAAAAATAAATAAAAAATAACCCATTGGGGAAATTGGATTTGCTTAACAGCTGATGTATTAGCTTAACAACTGCTACATTTGCTTAATGACTGCAGCATTTAATGACTGCCCCCAAAATGTCCCCAAAAATTGGGTCTGATCACATGATGCCTTGATTTACAACCACAAGAAGTTACAACTGTAATTTCAGGGTCATATGTTGAAGATTACCTGTATGCGGCTTAGAATTAATGATGGACAACTCCCTATTCCATGTGGGAAGCTAGCATCTCTACCATGCAGATAGCCAGAATACAATTGCCTATCCTCATCTTGAAAAACTCAAATTCAGATGAATTTTTTAAAAAATGCATGCATTCAGTATATGCTTCATTAATGAGAACAACCACAAAACATTGACATAGACATATTTATACCCCTATACAAACCTTTCATTTACACACCACCTAGAAAATTCATTCTTCACTCCATCAGGAATGTTGACCTTTACTTTCAAGATTTTCAGATTCTCTCCTCGGTTAATAGCCAGAATCTAAATCCCAAATATAAATAGCAAGAATTTATGATATATATAGAGATAGAGATATACACTGATAGATTGATAGCCAAAAGATTAAAAATGTCAGCCAATCAATATTTCTGAACTCCAAATCCTATAAATCTGTGTTATGAGATAAACTAAAGAAAAGTGATGATATGCTCAGTTATCATTTCTTCCACAACAAAATTGCAAAATAAAACGTTGACAATTGAAGATAAACTATACAGCTAAATTTGCATAATATACATAAATGGCAGAATCCAGTTTTTCCTGGAATTAAGTCTGTGATGCTTAGATTGCAGGCTTTATATGGATATATATCCATGGCATAGCTGCAGCTGTTAATCCTTGATCCAAGGAAACTAGACAATTATCCTCCAATCTCTAACCTCTCCATTTAGGGGATTATAACTATGAAAGAGGTGGCAATTACAGCTCTGAAAAATATGGAACATTTAGACCTGTGGCAGTCTGGTTTTGGGCATACCATGGAAACTGTATCGGTCACTCTCATGGATGATCTATAATGGGATTTAGAGGGAGAGAAGGAACATTTCCTCCTAGAACTCTAAGCAACCTTTGATACTTTCAACCATAGTATCCTTCTGGGCTGCTTGTGAGGATTAGGGATTGAAGGCATCCTTTTGAGGGCAGGTCCAGTTAGCAGTTGTTCAGGGGATAAGAGGATACGCCAACAGGCATTCTATTATGGGGTGACTCAGGGCTTGAATCTTTCTTCTATCTTCAAACATCAGGAAGCTATTGATTTAGGTTAAAGTGTCAAGATGCTGTCTAACTTCACCCTGAACCTAATGAGAAGTCTTAATTCAGTGTCTGGAGATTGGCAGAATCTGAGTGGGCTAAAACAAACTCAAGCAAAAAAGAATTCAGAAGTCTACCATTCCAGGATTGTACCAACTTTACTCTTCAATGGATTCGTGCTTTTCCAGAAAAAGCAGACTCACGATCTTCCTAGATTCTTAGCTTCTGGTCAAAGAGCAGGCAAAATTGCAACAATGGTGTAATGCTCAGCTATGGCTGGTGCACCTGTTGCTCATCTGGACTAGGATACTGTGATACAGTCAATTCTGCCCTTGACCACTGTCAGTTATATTGCTGTAATTTGTTGTCCTTGTTGATTTCAGTTGATCCAGAATTCAATGGCTCAACATGCTCCCAGGAAAGTTGTGATACTACCAAATTACACCATTGAGCAAACAATCTAATCTAATCTAATCTAATCTTTTCAGGTCTTTAAATATTTTTGGTCAGATATCATTATTCTGCTGTAGATTTACATAGATCAATCATATTCCCAATAGCTGTGCAGTGTTCCTTTAAACATATTTTGGTTCTTTTCCAGATATTTAGCTGATGAAGAATTTATCTCTAATTTTCTTCTTAAATTTTGCACGTGATATCCTCTACAACACTGCATGTTCAAAGAAATTGCTAAAATGTAGCAGTTACTTTATTAATTCTCTCAAGATCCATTTTTTCCCATTTTCTCCTCAGAACAATTGTAACTTATTGGTTTCAGCTACGATAGTGTGACTGTCAAAGTATACCGCCAACTGGTTACTCTGAGAAAAAGCCTGCCTAAACCTTGTTCAGCAAGCTAACCACTATGCTGCATGTATTCCCTAACCAGTATCCTCCAGATATGTCAGACTAAAACTAACATCATCCCAACGGCCATGCTGACTGGTGATAATGAGAACTGCTGTCCAAAACATTTAGAATGTGTAAAATTGTATAAGGTTGCTCCCTATGTTCACTTTCTGATTCACTTGATGGAAGATTTCCATTAAATAAAACAAACATGCATTTAAACTGCCAAGAGAGAGAAAGCAGATGATTGCTGTGTACACTTGCTGTCCATGTGCGCCTAAATGTTAACAAAACCATGCATTTTTAATACATTAGACTTGCAAAAACCATTAAAAAGCTGTTAAAAGTTGACATACTCATGTCATTGCACACGTTGATGGATGCTATAGGCCTCTGCCTGTCACAAGCAAGCATTCCCTGTCCATCATGAACATTAATTCAATCACTAGCTAACTCAGACATGTCACATATGTTAAACACAATGGTCTAAAAAGTGACCTGAAGACATCACACCAATTTATATTCTTCAGCTTTTCTGGTGCTTGTTGACATACCAGGCTTGACATATCACTGAACAGTACAGCAAACAATAAAAATTGCATGTGAAATATTTTAACATCAGGTACCCAGACTGCCAAAACAAAGGGCAAGTAGGAGGAAGAGGAGGCACATCCATAAGCAAAGTGCTGCCAGGTTTATTCCGTTGTGACAAGAGGGATGAAAACTAAAACACCTCTCTCAAATGACATCAAAGTTACATTTTAAGACAAAACAGTTCATCATTCATGGGCATCATCAGCCTCTGAAACCTCAGAGACATTAAGACTGTTGGAGAAATCCTCTACTGAAGTAACATTGGCTATGTTTTATTAGATTTTTTTTTTAAAAAAAGATCAAAAATAAATATGAATAATATGCAACAATTAAATTTGGAATACAGATTTGGAGTATCTTCTATTATCTTGGTTTCAGTTTTAAAGAATAATAGATTTGTTTTATATGACTTAAAACCAACTACTTCAGCAAGGAAAAATTTTTATAGTCTTTTGAATCACTCAGAGAACATTTATAAAAGGTTCACTCTCATCATTTATATGCCGGAGCTACAATAAATTTAAAAGATCTTTGATACATGTGTCACAGGGGCTAGCTATCTGTAATTCATTACACTGGTCTACAAATTTTGGAAATTATCGACCTCCAAGATAAAATGTGTTAATTCTTACATATTTTGATTAGATGAATAAGAAAACAGGTGATAAAGGTGCTGGTTGGCTAAAGTTTTCAAGATATCTCACAATAACGATTTATATTTGCCTACAAGGGAGGGAGGTGTCTAATGATTATGATGCCTCATAGCTCCTTGACAAAGTACGATAGAACAATGAAAATGGTACCATAGGGAAGTGTATAAATTATTACCTAACTGTAATTTATTGTTCTTTTATTGCAAGGTACATTTGTCTTGGTCAGATCTACGCATCATACAGTTACATCTGGTGGCTTGTGAAAGTGTCATTACCTAACATTTCCAAGGAACAGTTGCATGATATTTTCCCCTATCAGAAGCCAAGATGACTCAAAACTGTGTAAACAATGCAGATAATTTCTGTTACATTTGTGGCATGGTTACATTTGTAACTCAAAAGTACAGTTTGATGGTAGTGGTAAAAAAGGTAAAAAAAGGGGGGGGATCAGGACAACAGTTGGGCCCCTCATTATTGTTGCATTACATGTGCAAATTATCTGCGTCTTTGGGTAAACAAGAAGAAAAAGCCCATGCCTTTCGCAGTCCCAGTGGTGTGGAGGGAACCACCAATCATGGTAACGACTGCTATTTTGCATGGTTCCCCCAATTGCAAAAGGGATCTCAAGAAAGAAGAAGTGGACCATGGAATATCCAAAGATTCCATCCGCACTGTGTCCTGTACCACACAGTGAGGACTTGTCAATTCCAGATCCACCAGAATCCTATTCTCTAGACCAGACATGTCAAATCCGTGACGTTACGTGACGTTGTGCAACGTATCGGGACGGTTTTGCAATTGCCGGCAATGGGGTGAGCGCGGCTTCCATGTGACGTGTCTGGCCCGCAGGTTGGCAGTTTGATACCCCTGCTCTAGACTCAGATGATGATAAAGATGATGAGCGGGATGCAGCTGATCCAGGGCCATTGATGTCAGTGGACCCAAACTTTAGCCCACCTTAGGCTCCTACTGAACCACATCTAATTTCACAAAGTGAACTAAATGACCTGGTCAGGGATTTGAAATTGCCTAAGAGTAAGGCAGAGCTACTGGGCTCCAGATTACAACAGTGGAAGCTCTTGCAGAGTGATGTCAGGATCTCCATTTTCCGTGATTGCCCAAAAAAATCTGGTTCAGTATTTCTTAGTGGAAGGTGATTTGGGTTATGAGACACAGTGATTGTCAGTACGCTTCCAGGTGTGATTCAAAGCGATGTTGTTATTATTATTTTTATCTCATCTTTTAAAAAAATATTTTTTAAAATATATTTGGTGAACTCCAGGCAGTGAACATACCTAATACCTTTGCCTCCTATATTCCTATTAAAGCCCTATATGGCATATGACCCGCTTATTTGAAAGACTGTCTATCTCCTATGACCTTTGCCCAGCCAGAACATGTTGGCCGAACTGGTATTCTCCAGATTCCTTTCACTAAACAGTGTTATTTACCAAGACCCAGCAAGCATGCCTTCTCTGTTATGGTACCTTTCTTTGGGATGAGATCTCTAAAATTCATGTAGCCCCCTCCCTATTGGTGCTCCATAAAACCTCGAAGAGAGGCAAGACCAAATAATATGATTCCATATGGTCACGCTTAGAAAAGAGTGAAACAACTGGAAACTTTGTATGGAATTCAGGGCATAATTCAAAACATGGGCAGGAAGAGCAAAGAAAACATTTTGAACTCTTGTCGATCCCAAGGGGAAATCTACAATGTTTCCATCTTCCTCAGCCATTATCCTAGAATAAAAGGTACAAGCTCACTTTTATCTCTGGAGAAAACATTTTCCCTTTGTGAAAAGGCCTAATGCAACTCTTTTCATTTGGCTAATGGCCACAACTCTTAACAGGAAAATGTACCCCCTTTTAGACCACAGCCGCATTTTCTCCTTCCTTGTTTGATGTCCATAGGCTAGATATGTTTCAAAATGGTCAAGTGACTCAATAAGTCAATTTCCAAAAACCTTAGAAAGCACAGGTTGATCTCAGGAACAACTCATGTAGGGGTTGATAAAAATCAGACAGCAGATTTGAAAAATCCAATGAGGTTTACAATTTGGGCTTGGATTGGAGAACCTATATTCCTTCAGGCACAAATCTCAACAAAGAAACTGGTATTTATGATCATCTTAAGAGGTGGAGAATGGAGGTATGATTACTATATATCTGGTCCTACATCTTCTTGATAGTAGGATACATGCCCATCCTGATATTTTGCTGACCATGTGAGAGACCATCTTCTCACAAGGGGGTCTCACAAGGAAACTGCAGTGCAAGACCTTAGGAACAAAGCCTTGGTGGCTAGTAGCTACCACATAAAAGGTCAGGGCATGCAGGCATGGTCAGCAGCAAGAGCAGATGACAAAAAGTGAGCTAGGACAGCAGAGGCTGCAGAGTACAGGGGACCAAAAATCACAGATGGCGGGAAATAGGTGCGAGGGGAAGTTGAAGCACCCCCGCAGTTGTAAGTGCAGGTAGGCTGCCAAGTGCCAGAACTGCTATCATGTGACTACAACAGCTGTAACTTTGGGGATGGATCAACACTACCATAACTTCAAACATCACTGAATTGTTGTAAGTCAAGGACTACTGGTAGGTAAATTTCAGCTGAATTTTAAAAATGTTTGGTATAAACTAATATTATGTTGCCATGCAAAGCTATTTAGTGTTCACTCCTTAAATACAGAAATTATATAGCAAGTATGTCTGGGGGAAGGAATCTGTTTACATAACCCTTACTGTCAGGATCTCCATCATTGGCCTGGCGCCTTGCTGGCATCCTGCCATCAAAGAGGAAGGGAGGGAGGAGGCATTTGGGGGTAATCCATACCTGGGCATCTAATGGTGGGAAATGGGGAGAGGGAGCTGACATGTGAAGAAGACCAGAGCTGCTTGTACCAGTTACGCCGGGCAACTTCAAGGATACAGTAGGACAGACCACTACATTATATATTTACAATAGGAGTTTAAACTAAAATTCAGCAGCAAAGTCCACATATTTTTTAAAAACCATTTTGATGACAACCTACTTCTATTTTTAAAAAAATTCTCTACTGTGGTGCTGTAAGAATAGCAAGGCAATATTTTTGTAAGAAGGAGCTTATTTATAGGACTGAACATTAGAGAGTGGAGCCTTTTGTCTATCTGTGAAGATAAGGTTAACGATTCGCTTCTTGTGGAGAGGACTGCTTTAAACCATTTATTCAGACAGCAGAAAGCTATACTTGGGTAAGAAAGCAGAACTTCACTATATCCATCCTTCTATCGAAATCCCAAATCCCTCCCACAGAGATTCTTTGAAGTCAGCCCCCTCCGTTTATATCCCTTGTTCAGGAACTCAGTTGAGAGGAGATAGTGAGTTTGGAAATTCTTTGAATGACAGATTCAATTTATCTGCTCATCATGAAGCCACAAGAGCCCCTTGGTTGGCATTGGCTGTTCCAGACCCTGATTGCTAAGCCTAAGTAGAATTTTACTTCTACTTTTTGCCATTTACTTCTGATTCCTGTCAAAGAGCCATATCTTTGGCATCAATGGCTGGGCTGCACTGCAGTAAGAGACGAAAGGCAGCAAATCATTAAATAAGGGGAAGGAATGGAATCCCTCTCTTCCTAAATCTATAGGAACATGGTCAGTCTGAGATCACAATAAAGTACTCCCAAATAGTTTCTCTCCACTCATCTTTACATTATCATTATGTGAAAATCCAGCCATTGTGGTTTGTATAGCTTACTGAGCCACTATGGCTTATTTTATAAAATATAGGAAAAACAAATCAAGTTTATCATGATATTATCATGACCTGAAACCCATGGGGCGTAGCCACTGGCTTACCCCCCCACACACACACACACAAACAAGGTACTGTACATCCAACCAGTTCACTTGAGTCTTCTCCATGAACATACCAAGCTTGACTTCAAAAGTGACGCAGGTTGGCAAGAAGGAGAGAGGGGCAAGCCACACCAACTCATCTCTACTCACTCCTTAAGACCTCTCCACAATTTGTTACAGTTAACATCTGGAAAAAACCCAAATGCACCAAATATTGGTTTGGGCCAGCTGAGACTGATTGAGAACAGTACAGGGAAACTTCAAAGCCACAATTTGCTTGCTTCAGGTTTAAAACAAAACATGTTTTCCTTTTCATGCTCAAGACTGTCTAGGCAACAGGAAAACAGTTCAAGAACTAGAATCAGGGGTAGTCAACCTTGGCTCTTTTATGACTCGTGGACTTCAACTCCCAGAATTCCTGAGCCAGCTAAGCTGGCTCAGGAATTCTGGGAATTGAAGTCCACGAGTCATAAAAGAGCCAAGGTTGACTACCCCTGAACTAGATTGTTTATTTTATCTACTATATTTATATCTGGCCTTTCATTCATGACCACAAGTGCAGTACTCTCTTGCTCTTTTCCCACATAAGACAACAACTCTTTGAGGTAGGCTGGGCTGCCAGAGAGTGACTGGCTCAAAGTGACTCACTAAGTTTCCATGGCTGAGAATGAACTAGATCCCAGGTTTCCCCACTAGTAGTCAATACTTTAACTACCATAGCACATAACAAATTTCTTGCAAGAAATATACCTTTTTGTTTTCTTATTTAAGAGGTACTTCTTTAGAAAATGTGCAACCATACCTGGTGATGTTGAATGCTTTTTATACAGCAAGAAAAGCTTCGGTACAGATGAAATTTGTTGACATTTTTTTCATTGATGTTTTTAGAGGTCACTTTTGCTAGACATGACTGAATGCAAACGTATTTTCTTTGACATCTATATTTTTAAAACAAACACAATCCTTTAGTCCAGAGAATTTCTCTGTACATCTGAATAATAGCAACATTAATAAAAAATAATTTCTTGATCATTCTAAATTTCATAGTATATTAGAACAAACTTATTTTACAAAATTAATCAGATATATTTCATTCATAATGCCAAGTTAGAAATGCGTTAGGTGCTTTCCAAAAACCAATACCCCCCCGCCAAAAAAAAAATTTAATGACCAGGTGACTGCTAAGGAATATAAATCTTTCCAATCCTCATCATTCAGCCAGAACTGAAGAAGTATTGGATGAGCAGCGAAACATTATCAAAGAAAAAAAACAAGAAAGTCCAGCTGCCTTTTGAAAAGCACCTTTGGGACAACCATGACCTGGATCAGGGGTAGTCAATCTTGACTCTTTTATGACTCGTGGACTTCAACTCCCAGAATTCCTGAGCCAGCACAGCTGGCTCAGGAATTCTGGGAGTTGAAGTCCACGAGTCATAAAAGAGCCAAGGTTGACTACCCCTGACCTGGATGATTGAGAATCTCTATAGACATTTGATATGAAAATAGAAATTTTAATGTCATGATAGCATAAATTATTAAATGTACAGCTATATTTAATGCCTATCACATGTAACTTTAATTAGATATAAATGAATGAAATTTATTTTAATTTTTTCATCCTGATCCTATCTTTTACTCTTTGGAATACTCTTTTACCCTTTTGATGTGACCCTTATAATCGAAGCATTGTCTTCAATCCAGAAAAAAATCCCCTGTACTAAGTGATCCTGTGGATTGTGCTTTTCTCTTAGCTTAAAACCTCTCCAAGAAAAAAAAAGGTTACAAACCAAACAAAATAGTTGTTAATAGTATAGTAAGCCAAAGTCAAACTATATATATCATGGCTTCCTGCAGAAGAATTTAGAGATCTCACCTGACTTGGATCCTGTGAGGAATATAGACTAATCCCTGGTCTTCAATTTAATTGAAGGGCAAGCCTGCCTTATCTTTCTGAAAACTGGGTGGTGGAAGAGGAAAGAGTTCCACTCTCAGAAATTTGCCTACTTAGGTTTCAGATTTGGCATCAAAGGGATGAATAGCTAAATTGGCAATCAATAGCAATAGCACTTAGACTTATATATCGCTTCATAGTACTTTTACAGCCCTCTCTAAGCAGTTTACAGAGTCAGCATATTGCCCCCAACAATCTGGGTCCTTATTTTACCAACTTCAGAAGGATGGAAGTCACCCTTGAGCCAGTTGAACTCCTGGCTGAGGGCAGAATTAGCCTGCAATACTGCATTCTAACCACTGCATTACCACAGCTCTTCATATGCTTCTATGTTTCTATGCATCTCCATAGATGTGAGGCCTCATTTGTAAGGCTTTCCAATAAATCCTATGGGCTTTCAGAGGGCTCTTTGGGGAGTTTCTTGAGAATCTAGTGGGCAGTTTGACCAAAGGTCAGGTTGCCCAGTGGAATAAAGATCATTGGACTGGATTGCACCAAAGTGCCCAAAATGCAAAACCAATACAGCCCCTTAGTTTATTGGGGAACTCGGGGAGATGAAATGATAGAGGAAACGCCCAAGAGGACTTCCTGCTTTATCCTGACTGGACTTTGATACAAGCTCCCACTGAGGCTATGGTCTGATAAGGGAAGGGGAGGGGAGGGGAGGGGAGGGGAGAGGAGAGGAGAGGAGAGGAGAGGAGAGGAGAGGAGAGAAGAGAAGAGAAGAGAAGAGAAGAGGACGATTTTGCCACCCTGTCTGCATTGGCTAAATAGCTCCTTTTAAGGCAACTTGATCTCTTTTAGGGAAGAATTAGACAACTCGTGCTTCATCGGGACATCATTTCAGAGACATTTCCTTACTTAAATAGAGAAACAGAATGTCCACAGGCTGGCAAAAAAGCAGTGGGAGCAGGAGCCTCTTCCGACTTCCTACCAGCTTCTCCATTGCATTTCCTTGTGGGAATCTGGCAGGCAGATTGGAAACCTTCCTTCCTTCCTTCCTTCCTTCCCTTTTCTTCCTCCCTCCGTTCCGTCCTTTCTTCCTTGCTCGCTCCTGTCCACTTCTTCTATCCCTTTCTTCTTCCTTCTTCCTTCCTTCCATCCATCCATCCAGACAACAGAATGACCACAGGAATGCAAAAAATCAATGGGAGTGGGAACAATTTCTGACTTCCTGTCAGTTTCCCCACTGAATTTCCTTGTGGGAAACTGGCAATAAATGTCAAAAGTCTTCCTTTTTTCCTCAAAAACATTTGTCTGATCATATGGAAGAATATATTCAACACAGGAACAAAGACTTTCATCAAATCTATAGGACTGGCAAAATGCAATGTTACCAATCTCTAAGATAAGGATATGTCTCTGACAAAATTACTTACAAATTTCTGATAAAATCCAGTGTTTCTTTATCTTTAGCAACCATGTCGGCCAGGATATGCTGCACTCCCGATTTTACTTCCTCATTGGTGGAAAGTCCTAAAGGAAAATATTTGTTTTTAAATACCAAATAGAATACCCTGCAAACATGGCAATACGAAGCTTTAAGGGGAATTTACAAAATCCAAAAATCAACTGAAGATGAAAGTTATATAACAGTAAAGACTGAACCATGCAGCAAGAATTGTTCTGATGTCAAGCAAGAGAAGGTCACACTTCTACTCACACCAGGCCTAACTGTTCCAGGCACTTCACATCCTTTTCCCAGTCACAAAAAAAAAAATGTTGCACATTTGTCGTCTATGCTGCACCTGAACTGAAACATTTCACAGCTAACTCAACCATATAATTCCCCTTTCACAAACAGCATATGTGTAACAACAACTGATAGCTTCAAACCCACTTCCTGCCCATTAAAATACACTCAGAATAGACACCTCTTGTCTTTTTGATGAGTGCCAGACCTAGCCTAGTGACAAAACATCGAGAGAGTTATGCAAAAAGTGTGAACCAATAATGTTCCTATTGCTAAAATCAACAAGGAGGTCTTGTGGAAACTATCATAAAGTTCAGTTAACAGTACCTCCCAGCTACAGAATTTTATTTTAACAAAATGTTAGTAAAGCATTTTTTTTCCCAAAAAGAAAAATCCTGTTAAATGATGAACTGGAAACACTGTTTAGGTCATTCTCTATAAGAAGCATATAAAAAAAAAATCAGTACATTTTGCTATCTAAGATTGCCCCCTACAGATTTATCTATAATTACACTGAACTGTGTACACATTATACTCTAACATATGAAATACAAAAAATAATCTCTTTCAAAATTAATTTTCTTCTGTCTCAGAGGTCAGAAGCAGTGAATTACAACACTTGCCCATCAGCTTTATTATCCTAGCATATAAATTAAGAAAAACCTTAATGGCAAATGATTAACAAGCTAACTGTTCTGTGGGGAAAGTAGTAAATAATATGATTATTACAATCCATGACTCCTTCGAGTCCCCAGGCCTGGACAATCTGGCTTAAGACAAAGCAGATGTAGAGATTATCTTATCTATGATAACACTGTTTTTCTCACTTTGCCACAAAGCATTATTGTTTTCCTGATCTAAATTAATGTTTTACTAGTAGTCACTGCATATTTTACCCAAGGTTATATATCTGTGCTCTATTAGACTCAGTCCCCCCTCCAGAATGCAAAGAAAACCCTGGAACAGTGTTTTGGGAATGAATTACAGACCCACACACTTTCCTTAACTCCTTCCCAAACCATCCTGTCCTACTATAGAAGAAAACAGAGATAAAGCAAAGATATCCAAGTACCATTAGCAAGAGAGAGAGGGGGAGAGAATAAACAAGTGTGAAAATGAGATTAAAAAAGCCACTTTGGTATAAGACGTGACAGGGGGAAACTGCCAAGCTTTAAAGATTCTCTTTTCAGACCTACAACTATAGGGTAGAGTTCCAACAATCTTTACATTGCTTATTGCCTAACTTGCTCTTCCTCAAAAGAGCTGACATCTATCTCTTTCAGTCATCCCCTTATTGATTAAGTGCAGATTTTCCTCTTCTTTATCTCTTTTTAAGCACAGTCATTAATCTTTTTATATTTTATATTACAATGTGTTGAAACTCCTGTAGTTTTAATGTATGTATGTATGGCAACATACTGAAACATGGCTGCAAGCTTCAGTATCTTCTAAGTATTTTCACTAATCAGGAGGAAGATGATGTTGTTGAGGCTCATTTGGGATCAAAGATATTTATGCATTCTTGATTTACCTCAGCCTTTCCACCCTAGAGATCTCTAGGGATGGTAGAAAACAGCACATGTTTTTTTTACCAGCCTCCATCTTTATTGGAACTAACTTCTTTGTCATGGTAAATATCAAGTCATTTTATTCAACAGTATTAAGCATATTTAAAAACTTGTGTATGCTTGAATAAGCCTGAGGATTATTGGTGAGGAATGGAAATGTTATACATGAACAAGTAGCTTTCCTACTGTAAAGCCAACAGTATACAGTATTTTAAAATAACAAAGAGAACTTTAGTGAATTGGGGTGGGGAGAAGAGTTCTCCAATCTACTTAGTTTCTATTCATATTCAGCAAGCATCTGAAGAAAAGACACATTGAGAATATTATCTCAAGCCAAGTTAATTTACCCAGGACTGTCTCTATTGATTATCACCAGGCCTCCAGAATTTCTAACCAGGACAATAGATAATTCAGAAAAAGGCGGGATGTGCTGCAAACAAAGCCTTTTGCTGTTCTCAAAGGGGCTAGTGACCACTGCCTACAAGTTTCCACCAAATTGCAGAACCATACTTACACAGCCGCTCTTACTCAGTAAAATATTTCTGTTTATATACTCTAATGCTTCTGAAAGATACACGCTTACCTTCGACGTCGGGCTTGACATAAAAGAATAAGTTGAGTTCCTTCGGATTCTCAAGGAGCAAGTTGGCTGCCTGTTCCAAGCCCAACTGTTTAGCTCTTTGTGCTTTAGTTCCTTTGCTTCCAGTTTTATATGGTGCATACTATAATAGATAATACTGTATGAGACTAAACATAAGGGCTACACACACACACACACACACACACACACACATATATATATATATTGTGTCTGTGTGTGTTTGTGCATGCATGTGTATGTATATAATTTTGTTGTCCCAAGTTTTCAAATTTTTCTGTCCTCAGGATGCAAACAAGGTAATGATATCTAGTATATAGAATCGCAGTTATCAGAGATCAATTAACTGATCCAATAGCCTCCTAGGTAATTGATTACCTATACAGCATTTCAAGGTTTTTTTTTCTAACATTCAATTGGAACCTACCTTGTTTAATTTAAATCTATCATTAAATTTTTGCCTCTTCGTTGTTTTGGACATTCCAGCCAGAATAGCCAAAGGCCTCCTGACCCACACAATGAGCAAGCCTGCCATATACAGTATACTTGTAACTTATCCTTAATCTGCTTTATTTAAAATATGAAAAAATAGTTATAGTCATCTTTCTTCTTTTAAATCAAGTTAGTTCACACATGCTGAATTGTGACATAGCTGGTTTTGCTTAGCTTAGTGTGCTGTATGAAACCAGCCAACTATAATATTTAACCCATGTTTTATATTTAGCACAAACTGAGAATCTGCGTGTCACTTATTCAATAAATATTGACTACTGTGTGTATGAGAGAGACTCCAATGCTAGAGGCAAACACTACTGAAATCCACTAAACATTATTTCTAATGTTGGGATTATATAATAAGGTAGACCAAGAGTATGTGCTGAAAATGAAACCCAGGCTTCCTGGAACTTTAGGAAGTCTTTATCAATGAAAAGGTCAGTAACTGCTAACAATCTTTTCTGGGTAGGAATTCATTCGTAATCCTTAATCTTCTCCTATGATTCATAACTCGAAGGATATTTCAAGTCTAATTTGTAGAGTACATGTTTATAGCATAATTCTATATACTTATGAAAATATCCCACTGAGGGGAATAGGATAGCAGTTCATAGGGAGTAAAAATGTGGGTCTCAAATCTAATGATTTATAAAAGCCGGCTTCAAACTGTTGACTAAAAGCAATTATGAAATGTTCATGTTTCTGTACATACTATACTGATTGAAAGGAGAGAAATACTGTATTTCAGCTAAGGCTGAAGCAGTCTTAACTCAATTTTTACTATGTGAAATAGCAAAGAAATGGAACACTTTTCATTGCCTTACTTCCTTTCCATTTCAGATCTATTTTAGTTCCAATCGGTGTAATAGATTTTGGATCCAAAAAACAAAATGCCTGGGTGAAATTCAAAGAAATTCAAATTCAAAGAAAATAACAATAATAACTACAGTGAAACCAAAGCTTAATGAGGCAGATCAAACTTTGACTGTGCTTTTCATCACTTGTATAATGTTGTAATGATGCAAATAATGTAAAAATAATGTACTTGGCATTAATATCAAAAGCCCTATGCCCTAATTCAATGGACATTGCTGAATAACAGATTCTTCCATTTCTTCCATTAAAAGGAGACTTTACTGCACTACCAGTAACCACCGTGAGTCTGCCTCTTCCTTCCTTTTTCTGCTTTTGGTAAGCTGCCTTTATAATTCTCTCTTGCCTGAGAAAATAGCTTGTATCATATATGAACCAGGATTGAGCCATATTTCAGTGGCTCAGTACATGTGCTGCGTTAAGCGGTCTCAGTTGTTTGCACTTCCAAATAAGACTGGGAAAATTAAAATCTTAAAGTGTGTAGAACTGTTATTAGATAATATAGTAATGATCTAACTTAGTATAAAATGGCTTCTAAGAGGTTATGGCCACAATTTACATAAAAAGATTTGCAAATGTTTGGAAAAAAATCAAACGCACAGTAAGGTATATGAAAATTTACATTAAAATATTATACTAACCACATGATCCAGCTCCTCCAAAGTTTTACAGTTTAATAATGTAGTTAAAACACCTTCTGACAGTTTTCCTTCTTTTTCAAGTTTTTGTATTGAGAGATGAACCTTTTTTGCTAAAGTCCTAAAACCAAGCATAGGTAGTAGAATTAAAAATTTGTATTTAATAGCACATTTATATAAATACTATTCCTAACTTTGCTGCATCCCTGAGCCAGAATCACCTCACTGTGAAACCTTCCATATACAGTATATTGTTCATAGGGACTCTCAGACTGAACTGTTCCATTGGCTCAATAGAAAAGGCACTTTCTCATGTGAAAATCATAATCAATGGATGAGTAGCTTCTTCTTATAGAAACACAATAAAGACAGTTTTCACTGAGAAAGAGTTTTCAAGTCAGTCACTTAAATATAATGTACCTTTTATTTAAATTTACCTAAGAGATACAATGAAGAGCTATTAAAAGTCACAATGGGAAGATTAGATGGGCCACAGACATTCTTAAAACTGTCAATTTCTCAAGAAGAAAATTGAAGATTTGGATTCTGATGATTACTCAGTTTCACATTATACTCAAATCTTGAATCACTTATATGATCGAGTTTTAAAAAAAATATTTCAGTTTTCTTGAATTTTAAAGAAAACTAAAGTCACAGCTAGTTTTGCTCTCTCTATTGCACTTATCCCCCCCTCATGGTAACACTGGCTATGTGAGTGACTGTAGGTAGACATAGGATTGCTGATAGATATTACTGGATGACACCTCTGTCTCAAGAATTGAGGAATTGCTAGGAAGCTTCCAAACTTTTTGTTAAAGGCAGAGCTCCATTCTAGTTGGCAAAAGCATAGCAGTTGTCAAATTCTCTAACAACTGCCTAACAAGAAAGTTATTCTTTCCAAAGAAGTTTCTAATGGAATCTCTTTGACAAGATTTATTGAGAAAGAATGTGGTTACAAAATCTCCAGCAGATGAACATTTTTTTCTTAGAATCAGTCTTGGGGCAGAAACTTTTTCAACTTTTTTTTCCTATTGGCTTCCCTAATAGAGAGGCAATATTTTCACTCATAACTGCAAAGTTTGCAGCCGGCTGCTTATATCATAATCTCTTATATCAATCCAGGAATCAACTTTTTAAAAAGGAGCCTCTCCATTACTGGAATTCAGACAAGTTATGAGATCTGTAAGCATTCTCCCCATGAACTCCTCTGTTAACATTTGCAAGACTGCAGTAATTGCTTAAGGAAAAATAACAAAGTTAAAAACAATATTGATTTGAACCTTTCTATTTCAGTAAAAAGTAAAAGAGGGCATATTGTGTATATTTACATACCAATACCACTTCAATGTGATATGACTCTTCTGATATAATCAGAAGAAACAGAAACAGATTAAAATCTAGTGATACTGGACTAATCTACATTCCAGCATTCAAAAATGATATCCTTCAATAATGTCTCCGGGTTAAGAAAATAATTAAAAAATTCTGCCTATCACTGCTAATTATGTAAAGTTTTTCCTTATTCTTTCTCCTAACCTCAAAAACACGAATATTTTCCTTTATTTTCAATTCTCCAAAATCCTGAACAGAGGACTTCATTTCATTTTCTTTTATTCATTAAACACTGCAGGGAAAGGATAAAAATGATTATCGCCCATCAAGTCAGTTGGAGAACAATCCTTGCTTATTGGAGGAAGTTTCCATTCTCTTGTTTTTATTCTGAGGACAACAAGGAAGGACATTCTCTCTTTCCTTTTCACTATCCAGAAGAAGTGAAGTCAGCTTCCAAGTCAGCAAAACAAGTCCATGCATTCCTATGTAGGCATGAATGGAGATTCTCTCTCTTTTTTCTGTCTCTCAGTCTCTAAATTCCTTTTCTTGATTCCCAGCTAAATTGTGCCCATTTAAATGTTCCCTTAGAAAATTGGGAATGTATATTAATCCAACATAATCAAATGCCTTACCTCGCTAGGGCGAGACCAAGAGCAGCAGAGAAAGGCTAATCATTACACAATAAGAGTTGAAAAAATGGGTAGGAATGGAAACTTCTTTTTTTTTTTTTTTGCACTTGAGGAAATTTAAAGATAAATAAGGTGCTACAGTTCTCAGGCTGTCAGGCTGTCAGTTGTTCAGTACAGAAATGGGATCTCAAGTTAATAACAGCACCTTCCTTTAGACATCATAAATGTGGCTGGTCTAGACAACTTAGATCTACTCAGAGTTCATATATATAATAATAATAGAGTTGGAAGGGACCAACCCTAGTCCAACCCTAGTCCAACCCCTGCTCAGGCAGGAAACCCTATACCATTTCAGACAAATGGCTGTCCAGTCTCTTCTTAAAAACTTCCAGTGTTGGAGCATTCACAACTTCTGGAGGCAGGTTGTTCCACTGATTAATTCTTCTAACTGTCAGGAAATTTTTCCTTAGTTGTAGGTTGCTTCTCTCTTTGGTTACTTTCCATCCATTGCTTCTTGTCCTGCCTTCAGGTGCTTTGGAGAATAGCTTGACTCCCTCTTCTTTGTGGCAGCCCCTGAGATATTGGAACACTGCTATCATGTCCCCCTTCATCCTTCTCTTCATTAAACTAGACATACTAAATTCCAGCAACCATTCCTTATATGTTTTAGATGTTATATTATTTTATTGTATTATTTTATATTATGTTATATTATTTTCCATTGTAACTCTCTTTTCTAACCCCCCATCCCAATGCTTTAATACATACTGTAGTTCTTCCATTATTTGTTGCACCTCACGCAGCACATCAGCTTCCAGATTATTGATAAGTTCCTTCCGATACCGAACAATAAAAGGGATTGTATTATCATCATTGAAAAGCTTGACTATATTGGCACACACCCATTCTTCAATATCAGTCCTTTGTGACAAAATCTGTAAACAACAGTAAAAAGGCCCAAGTATGAATTTCTCACAAAAGATTCTGAAAATGTTAAGCTTGGAGAAGAAATGGTTATGGCTAGCATCTTACAGCAATCTGCTTAATAAGGCAAACATCTGAGAATAACTATGTTTATTTACAAACTTTACTCATTTTTCATTCTTAAAACCATATCCCCAAAATGATTGACACGAAAACTAGGCCTGAATCATTCATCCCAGCTTTTTTCTAGAATTCCTGAAAATTTGAAGAGTGGAAAGGGAGCAAAACTCTAAGAAATATTTTTGGGAAGATCTTCACCATTATAAAAACATGCTTGAATATTCCTTTCCCAGGTAATAGATACTTTATAAAAAGAGAATGGGAAAAAAAAAACCTTGCGTTTGCTACTCACCGGAGAGGTGAGCCTTTAAGCACAGTATCTTACTTGTATTTCCTGGGGTTCTAATAGAAAAACATGTTCACATGTATTGTCAGCCCAGTTTCAAAAGTAAGACTTTTGAACTGACAGCCACAATCCAACTGTTGAAATAATCCTAACATACCCACAAATTTTTTGTTATAGCTGAGGTGGTCAGGAGCAAGCATCCATCCATTTACTAGAGGAGCAGTTTCTACATTTCAGCTTCCACTTACTTTTCTCTTTCCCCAGGACTTTGTGCTACTGTAACTAATCAATGTTGGGAGGGAGGGAGGAAAAAGGATTAGAAGTTTCGTAAAAATAAATAAAATCATTGAAGCAGATGTTTGCTAGAATGGAAAAAAGAGGGGAGAGGAATTTAAACTTCATAGAAATAAATAAAATCATTGATGAAGATGTTTATTAGAATGGCAGCTTCCTTTAAAAAATTACATTAAAAAAATAAAGTTAAATAGTTTCAGCAACTGAGAAAAATGTTTATTATTTAATGGGGGCCTATAAGCATCAAGCTGCCTACCATGCTCTTGGAAACGTGAACGTGAACAAAGAGCTTCACCACACACACTAAAAACAGCAAGAATTAGTATTTATTTTATAAATTACAAGACAAAAAAGAAATAGAAGGAACCCTCTTTCATCTGATAAAACAATGATAAACCCTTTCTTCCCCAATTTTAAAAAACACTGTATATGTTTCCCAAAGCACTCAGAAAACTGAAACATGCCTCTCATTTCAGTATGATAAAAATATTTCCTTGGGGCTGGAAAATATTTCATAATTTTTCTTTTATTTACACATAACAAAATATTTTTTGACGTTTTTTTGTGAAATGTAATACTAACTATAACCTTCCTTACCATAGCTAATGCTCAGGATAAATTCTCATTAAAAAAAGGGAAGACAATGTGCTTTGTTTTATAAAAATAAAGGCAGACTCAAATAGTTTTTTTGGAATACCTCCAAATGAGATATTATATACATCAGAAATAAAATGAATGTACTTCACTCTAGAGAGTTTCCTCCAGAATTATAAACAAACATTACATACCTGTACAATGTCCCAGTTCATTTTATGGTCCTCATTCAGTTTGCCAACTGTGGCGTATTTTACACATTTCTCCTGAGGACATCCTTTTTTTTTTTTTTTTAAGGGAGGTTCACCAAATGTAAAATCTTCTTCCATCTTAATTTTTCTTTTAGATACTGTAGAACTTGTGGATGGTTTATCTGCATTTACCGAGCCAGGTTCACCTTTAATGCTGCCAACTTTCTTCACTGGGAGCTTTTTGGTTGAACAGCTCACATTGACATCTTCCTCTGTCATTTTTTCTGTTCCTCCAGGTACGGCAATAGGCAAAGATAAGTCCTACTCAATCCATCAAAATACATTAAGAGATATTAGTACTGACCACAGCTAGCCTGAACATAAATAGCACCAATGGCTTACTACATATCATCATATCCTTTAGGATGATGGAGGAATGGAACAAATGTCATCAAGTGGGGAAAAAGCTACTGTAGATATCAGCATCCTGCTTAGTAAAATGCAAGTGCAGAAAACATGAGTGCCTCAGGAAAGACCATTGTTACTGTCACTGATTACAGATAAACAATCAGAAGCAACCAAAGATAACTGCTCTTAAAGCCAACCTATTTTCTCCTTTAATCCAAGATTCAAGATCAGTTTTCAGTTACAAAGTTAGAACAAAAAATGAATTTGCCCTAATAAAATCTGCTTTCTCTGGTAACAGATTGCAATTAAGAGTGTTGTGCACCACATGTGTAGCTTCCAGCAGGATTATTTGGGACTGCCTTTTCTCAACAGTTGCTGCCTATCCAATAAGACCTAAAAGGGAAGGCTACTTTTGGGTCCTTACTCGGAGAGAAGGGAAGACAATGGTGGTCCATGTTTCTCTGTTGCTGCCCGTCCCCCTTGTTTGAGGTTGCCCTCGACTTATGACCATTTGTTCAGCGACAGTGCAAAGTTACGATGGCGCTGAACAAAGGGGACTTAGTCCTGGGAGTTCTGGCCATCACAGTACACACACACAAACCCACCCAGTCATGTTATTGTGATTTCTGAGATTCCCTACTGATTTCCCACAAGTCAACAGGGAAGCCTACAGGAAGCTGGTCCTTGCTCAACCACGGCAAATAGGACTGCTGTAATAGTCATTGATAAGCAGAGTGGTCACGTGACACTCCGCTTTACCACCACTTAGTTTACTAATGGTAATACAACAGCTGCTGTTGTAAGCTGAGGACTACTTGGATCCCTTCCAGCAGGACTTGAGTTTTAGTTGTTCCTTGAGACAGTATGATAGTACAATGTGAACAAATTATTATTTCTACTTGATTTATGATAAGAAGCTCCAACATACATCCTGAAGGTTCAAATACAAATATAAATGCATGTTTCAAGGAACATACTTCACATCAAGTATGCTGGATAAATTACAGAGGTTAATCTGACTCATGGAAAAAACATAGGGGCAGATCTTTCTTGCATATAGCACAGTGTACATGCATCTGGAATCCCCATTTTTCCATTCCAATAAATCAGATAATTTAGAAGTTTCTAGGTAAGTCAGGTTGTTGGATCTATGCAAAAGAACTGAACCAAATCAGAGGAAATTGGAATAGTGACGAATACAGATAAATCTCACAAAATAATCTATGTCCTCTCTTACTCTCTCTCAAATGTTTTGAAAACTAAATGGCTTCCTAGCTTCAATTACTTACCGGCTCCTCTTTTATCACTAGCTTCTTTGTACCTTTCTTAGCTACAGTGGCTTTCTTCTTGGTCAATGGTTTTTTTTCAACTCTTGGCACTTTTGGTTTTGGCACTTTGGCCTTACGTGAGACTTCCTTTTTGGGGACCCATTCCTCTTCATATTGTTCATCTTCTGATTCTGAAGATCTGCACAAAATATGGGAAAGTTTGTAATAAATGGAATTATACAGAGCGCTGTCCTTAAGAAATGCAGGCCTCAACATTTAAACAAAAGAGTTGCATGCATTTATACACCAAAATGTATATGCTATCCTAGACAAAAGACTTGCATAGCTCAGTTACATAGAATTTATGACACAAAAATATCAAAATTCATGGTGAAACCAAACACGCCTTTTATTTATAACAAGTGACAGAATGCCAATTACATTTAATTTGTGTACATTATTGCCTATCCTTAGAACAGTCTTTCCCAACATCTGAAACACCTGTTTTTTCAATGTTCCCATAATGCTCTAGATCAGACATGTCAAACTCGCAACGTCACGTGATGTCGCACAACATATCAGGACTGTTTTGCCATTGCCAGCAATGGGGTGGGCGCGGCTTCCGCATGATGCATCCGGCCCACGGGCTGGCAGTTTGACACCCCTGCTCTAGATAGAAGGAAATTGCACCAATGCATTGTGGATACAATATTGCCACTAGCAATCTTGCTGGAAAAGCACTCCAGTGTTAAACAAAGTTACACAATTTTAAGCAGTTACTCATAGCCTGGTTTTGTATTTGGAGCTGGCAATCAGTCCATGGATTCAAGCATTTTTCCAATCTGCCCACAGCAAACTTTCTCTGCACAGATTTCACAAAACTAAATGAATAAAAAATGTAACAAACCAGCAACAACATTTAATATGGCTGGACAAATATAAAGTACACAAAAGCAACAATTCTTGCAATTCCATCCCTAAATTCCATATCTACGATATAGCAGACATTTTAATTTGCATGGATAAATTTCATATTTGTGTTCATTCATTTTTCTCCTTTCTTGTTTTCAAATTGTGAGTTCATAGGAGAGGAAAAGCCAAAATCAGGAACAGTGAACATAGTGAATCAACATACACACGATTCTGTTAATTCATCTGACATTATCACTCTTCTTTCAAACTTTTTTTGTTAGACTTTATGCACAAGTCAAACGAGTCAGGTAAACAGGTGTTATCAATGTATATGTACACACTTATGCTTGTAAATTCCAGCCAATCCCAAAATGCTAGAAATTTCAGTAGATATTGTCCTAATACCATCCCCAGGTACAAAAATTGAACAGAAATTAGAACACGTCGATCATAAATTTTAACTCACGATGTAAAGAAGGAAGGTAGTTCAATTGCAGTTCTTGTCCGTTTAGAGAATTCTGACATCTGGGAAAAGAAAAAAATGTACTTGTGAGTTTTCCCCCATTCCTAAGAGACTGCAAAAATACAGTTGGACGTTGCACTTGCAAATCTGACATTTTTTAACAGGCATCCTTGAACATCTGTATCAACTACAGATTCTATACATGAAATTGAAAACTCTGCTGATTTTGTATACATCTGAAAGCAATTTCATAGGAACAATGTCCCCTTATCTTTCATTATATTTTATGTTATCTGTGTATGGATGTATAAGTAATCACTAGTACCATCAATGTACAAGAAAGAAGTAGCTATAAGCAAGGAAAAATCACTCTGGGGCCATGTTTGAAGTCTTAGATGGAGAATGTGAGAAATTTAGATCTCCATTGATCAAATCAGCCTAACAGATTTCACTGGATTTTGGGGAACGTAACATGAAATATCTTATTTCTTAAATGAAATAAGAAATAAATTAAGAAATTTCAACGTTTGTACGATGTGTGTATGTATGTGTGTGTGTCTAAAGCAGACATGCCAAACTCGCGATGTCACATGACGTCACGCAACGTATCAGGACAGTTTTGCCATTGCCGGCAATGGGGTGGACTAGTGATCATAAAATGCAGATCATAAAGGAAAAGAGCCAGAAGAGAGGAGAATGAAGATGCATTTTGCATTTTAATTTTTTGTTGCTGATCACACATAGACTACTATATAGTTATATCTATGCATGCATTGTCAAACTCAGCCCTTGAAAGCTTAAGACACCAAGAGGATTCCCATTATTTCATTTTAGTAAAGTATTTAATGAATAAGGTGTGAGAAAACAAAGTTGGAGCAATAATGATTTTGGATTACTACAAAGCAATTCTCAAACTTTTTGGTCTCAGGACTCTTACATTCTTAAAAATGATTGAGGACTCCCAAAAGCTGTGGTTTATGAGGGCTTTAAATACCAATATCTACTCTATTAGAAATTAAAACAAATTTTAAGAATATTTGATTTCACAGATCCCCTGAAAGGGTCTTGGGAACCCCCCCCCCGAGATCTCCAAACTATACATTGAGAACTATTACTCTTACCTAAGCTGTTCACTGCTCCCACACATTTGGCAACAACGCAATCGAAGGTGGATATTTTTGACTTAATCTAAATATATGAATTCACTTAGCCCTAAGAGAAGGCCAGATAACAAAAGATACAAGTACCCTTACCTTACAGAGTAGAGAGAGTGCAAGGGAAGCACAAAGAATTGTAGCCATTTTAGAAAAGCTTGTAAGCATGGAAAGAATGGCTGTGTGCGTGTGTAAGTAAGTAAAATAAGTGATTTGGGCTTTGTACAGATATATTGCAAATGGTCCTTGGACAACATAAAACACTAACCAGATGGGCCTTCGTCATGATCTAGACTGGCATTTCGCATGTTTTTGCATATTTAAGGAAAAAGAGCCTTTGTAGCCTATGGAATGCATGTTGCATTAATATGCATGTTGTGTTAATATGTGTGCCTTATCACTATGCATATCTTATTGATACGCCTGTCCAGATATGCATGGTCCAGAATATTTGAAAACCAATTTTAAAGAAACAGAACCATGAACTAGTTGTACGGTTGCTCTGAGAGACCAACTTTCTCAAATTCGATATTTCATAAATCGGCAAAAATCCTGTAACACCGAACTGCAAGGATAACGAAAATAAATATTTAAAACAATTAAAACAGATGGATAGCAACTCTTATGAACCTAGCAGCCTAGAGGTTTCCACGTTCGGCACGTCCCTGAACGCCGGAACCTCCCCATTCACCTTTTTCGAGCTTTGGCTACGAGAGAATACGAAATTTCGCTGCTCGTTTCGGCTTCCCTTTCATAAACCTGCCTTAATATTTAAAACCGGCGCCAGCAGCGACTGCAGCAAAATCCAGATTTTCAAAGCTGAGGAAGCAGCAACCCTGACAAGAGGGGAGGAGCAGGAAGTACGCATCGAAGAACCTCCGGCAGCCTTCGGTTACAATGAAGTCCCGGTGAGTCGGTTCCTCTTCGGATTAGCCCAGTGTTTTCCAAACTTGGCAACTTTAAAATGTATGGACTTCAACTCCCAGAATTCCCGACATAAAGGCGTATGACATAAAGGCGGCGGGAATGGCACGCCCTGGGTTTCCGCAGGCGCTCCAGCGAAGCGGAGTCTATAACGCGATGCTGATGGAAAGAATCTTCCTCTGCTGCGCTCATTGGGTCTGATTTAATAAACTAGTAAGCATGTCTTGGAAGACTCGCGAGAAAGCTGACTTCCAACAGAAAAATATTTCTCCTGTTTTCCCGTTTGGCCACTAGGTGCTACTGTTTACTCGGGATTCCAGCCTGGAGCATCAGTTCGTTAGTTATTTAATTGGTGTACATCTCGCCTATTCTCCAAGAGTTCAACACCCGTGTCCGTGTTATTTCTAGGCAATAGGAGGTTCAACACGGTTGAAACAACAGCTGGCTAATTCAGAGTCACTCGGTGGTTTCCATGGGGGAGAGTGAACCACCATGGGGGAGAGTGAGCTTATACATCCTTCTCTCTTACTTTACTCATCTTACAGCAGAGGTCCCCAACCTGTGAGCCACGGTCCACTACTGGACCATGGGCTGTTGGCCACTGGGCGGCTTGAGTCGCTGGCCAGTGCATTTGCGTGTGTGCATGCGCACCCCCCCATTCGCGCTAGTGATACTGTGAGCATCATACAGGCGCTAGCTAGCGTCACCACGCATGCACCCCCACTCGCACTAGCATTAGTGGTGCCTGGGCTCTATTGTTGCTGCGAGCGCACACTCCCCCACTCGCGCTAGCATTGCAGCGTCGTGTGGACGCTAGCGTTACTCAAGATCTTGTGGCCCTGTTTGTGTTGCACACTCAATCCTGGCCCCATTCGTGCATGCATGCGCACGTGCATAAAGGCATCTCCATCCCCACCTGCACTGGGCTGCCAACCAAGAAAGGTTGGGGACCCCTGTCTTACAACAATGGGCTTGGGAAAGGAGAAATCTAAGACCTACCATGAATGTTGGCGAAAGAAAAAGGCACAGGTTTTATGCTATTTCCCAACTCTTGACTCCATAAATCAGCTGAACACAATAGTCTCCACAACCCAGCTCTGTTTTGTACAGAAGCTGGAAAGAAAAAGTAATAGGTGGGGCTCCTTTGCTCAAAAAGGGCATTTCACTGTCTGGAACCAAGGAAACATTGGGGCGGGGGGGGGGGCTGCCTGGGAATCAGAGGGGAGGGATAAGGCCTGCATTAGTTTGAAACTACTCAGTAAATTCTGGGTAGATCCTGTCTGCTATCAACCACCTGATTTCACCACCACCAGAATGGATAACAAAAGCACATCAGATGTTATGCACTTTATTATTGCCACTGGCTGAAAATGGCTTCAAGAAGAAATTGACTGACCAATTGATCATTATATGCTATCAAGTCACTGTTGACTCTTATTAACCACATATATATGTTCCATGATTATCTGTCCCTAAATTGGTCCTTCAAGTTTCCCAATTGTGCACCTATCATTATTTAACTGAGTCCTTTCAGTTTGCTGCTGGTTTTCTTTTTTCTCCCACCCTTCCCAGAATTAGCGCCTTCTTCAGGGAGCTATATCTTTACATAAATTTTCCAAAGTAAGAAAATTTTAGCCTGCTCATTTTTACTTCAAGTGGGAATTCTGTGTTGATTTGATTGATGATCCATTTGATCCATTTCTTGACTTTTTTCTCAGGAATCTTCTATTACACCAAAGTTCACAAGTGTTAATACCATTCCTATTCTGCTTATTCAAATCCAGTTTTTGCTTCCAGTGTACAGGGAATATCATTGCTTACGCTATTCTGATTGTTGTAAATATGGACACATCGTGACATTTGAGTATCTTTTCCAAGACCTTCTTGGGTCCTCTACCAAGTGCTGATCTGCAAGGTATTTCTTGTTGATGATTGATCCAGTCTTACGATTTAGATGAAGAATGATGATTAAGATGGGTGACTTTTAATAATTACAACCAAAGAGGTCACACAGATCCAAAAAAAATACTTCCAGGAATGCAGTTGCCCTGAAAAATATGGAGCCACCTGAATAGAATCAGGACAGGCTATGCCAGAAGGCAAAGCTCTTTAAGTGGGGAATGGCTGAGAGACCACAGTGTGACTCTGGTGCACCAGAACAAAACTATAACACGTATAGTTCAAGAATGTCTCAGGAAATCTCAAGGCACCAGGGACGAGCATCACAGATACACCAGAAGCAGTTAGATGGTTAGCTTCCTTGGATATTGAATTATAACATCTATCCAATTGCAATTTTATGGCTCCATATTATGGTGATATTATTATGGTTTTATCTTAATTTAATATATCATTTCCTATATTATATTGTCCACATATTCAAATATACATATATACATATACATTTGCTGATGCTTTATTTAAACTAAATTTGTATATCAATCATTGTATGACCGCTGTAGATGCCATATGCTAAACAAACAAATAAATAAATAGATCCTAAAAAGCAACAGCTATCTATCATGTCAATATTATCATTGTCAATTTTAAGGCTGATTGTTCTATCTGTTGTCATTAATTTGATCTTCTATATATTTAATTTTAGTCCTTGACTTTTATTATTAGTTAACAAAATAATATCAGCATAGTGTAGGTTATTAATGTTTCTTCCATCATTTTTTCAATATTATTAATTTCATTAAATTTATTATGGTCTCCCATTCCAATTTTAAAACAACATTCATCTTCTTCAAATGTAGATCCTCAGTATATGTTCAACATATAGACTGAATAAATAAGAGAGTATACAACCTTGATGCACTTCTTTGCCAACCTTTTTCACAATGCTGTATCCATACTGTAATTCCCGACTTGCTTCATAGGAGGATATATAGATTTCATATAAGGGCAGTGAGATACTTTGGAATTCCCATTTTTCTAAGCACATTCCACAGCGTAACATTGACTAACCCAATCCAAAGCTTTTCTATAATCAATAAAACACATAATGACTCTCTGGTTTTCTTTGGCTTTCTCGATTATCCAATGTGCATTAACAATAATATCTCATGTTCCTTGGCCTTTTCGAAAGCCAGCTTGAACAGCTGGCATCAACTTTTACATATAGGGCTCTAATTGCCTTAAACAATCCTAAGTCTTATTTTGCTACCATGTGAAATTGAGTATATTGTATGATAGTATGGGCATTCTGTTGTCTTTAGTTAAGTTTCCCCCTAAAGACATCTGTACATCTCACAATAATGGATAAGACACTTGTGTATCCAGGTTACTTCCCTTAAACATTGCCATCTTGTGTGTGCAGTTTATATCCTATGGAAGACACCCACACACACCCAAAATCCAACAGGCCGCTGCCCTTGTCCTTCTGGAGAACGTTTAAAAACTGGCTCTTACCCTTGGCATCGGGATAGGATGAGGTCAGGGTGGAACAAAAATGTGGGTTCATCAGAGAAGTATAGCTCGGGTACCAGGTTTTTCTGTTTTTAGTTTTATTTGTATTGGTGACTCTTTCTTCTCTAGATTTGCTGGTATAGCTTGTTTAGAATCTTTACTGAATCTTCTTCTTTTGCTTGCCTTATTTCTGTGGGTTTCCATCAATTCCAATAGCCTTTTGAATTGGTAATGACAGGAGTGTGATATAACTTCATCTTTCATTATCTTTGATACTGACCTCTCTACTGTACAGTATTTCAGTATACACCTTCCATCTTCTTCTGATCTCCTTTGAATCAATTACATGCTGACCATTGGTGTTCTTTGGCATACTAATTCAAGGTATGAATTTTCTTCAGAGGCCTTTTTTTTTGGGAGGGGGGAGGCTTTCCTTGTTTTTTTCCCTTTGTTTTCATCTTCAATGTCTTTCAAGATGGTTTTCTAATACTGTTTGTTATCTCTCCTAATAGCTCTTTGGAACTCTTCGTTAAGTTTCTTTCTGAGGTTCTTGTTTCTTTTTGTCTTTGGTGTCTCTTTTGTTCATAGTTTCCACTATTTGTCATGCTATTCAGTTTGTGTTTTTTTCCTGTTTCTTGATCTCTGGCAGTATTTTTCAGTATTTATCCTTAACCCTCTTTAAGCTCATTCCAAGTTACTCGGGTTGTCTATGAATGAGGTCCAGGACTTCAGAGCAATTCCTGAAGTTCTCCTTGAAAATGGGCATATGCTCATAATCTGGAAGTTGGTGGGCTTTTTCATTCTGCTTTAGCTTAATTTGGAACTTCTACATGAGACATTTGTGATATGTTTACAGTCAGCACCTGGTCATGCTTTTGATGTTATAATTGAGCTCATCTACCTCCTAGCCAATTTGGTTTTCATAAATTCCCTCTGGTGATATCCGTGTATACAATCATTGTTTTCTTAGTTAAAGACAGTGTTAGCTATGAAGAAATCATTGGAATGGCAGAAAGTAGTAATTTGTTCTGCTTCATTTTTGCTTCCTACGCCATATAATGTCAATACACTTTCCTCTTTAGTATTTCCAACTTTAGCATTCCAGTCTCTTGTTTTGATGTTCTGTTAATTTTAAATTGAACTTGATCATAAAGCTCATCAGCCTCTTCTTCTTCATGAATTAGTATATAAACATGGATAATCATCATATTAAAGGGTTGTCCATAAAGTTTAATTGATATTTGGTCATTGATTGAATGGTAGCCAAGTATTGTTCTTTCCACATCCTTCCTAAATATAAAAAAACATTCAGTGTTCTTTCTTTGTTTATCATATCCAAAGTGGTAAACTGTGTGATCCTCTGATGGAAAATGTCCAATCTCAATTTGCTAATGCCTAACATGTTAATTTGTAGTTATTTCATCTTTCACTATGTTGAGCTTTCCTGTGATCAATACCTTCCTCCTGTTTTCCCCACAACAACAAACCTGTGAAGTGGATTGGGCT